AATAATGAACAACTATATACCAGAGACATTTTACGGGGTGGAGGGGGGAATGGGATCATAAATGGGGGGAAGGGTGCACTGGACTATGATGATGGCACATGGTGATTTGGTGATTTGGGAAGCCCATGGGGATTACAACTGAGATGGAAAAAGGCACAAAATGATGTAAGAATAAACTATTCTATTATATAAAAAATAAACATAAACTGGCTTTGCTTATAACTTCTCAGAGTGATGGTGAGTATTCAAATTTCCTTATGAAGTGGTTTTACGTGATGGTAGTATTTATATAAGTTCAATAAATAATTGCCCATCTTTCGAAGATGGAGATAGATAAATCAATAATCAAATTTATAGGTAAGTTTATATTCATGCTAGAAACTTCACTCTTACTTAGCTTACGATTAAGAATCAGGACAAAGTTAGACAAACATGAAGAGACAAAAGCTGTATGATTCTACTTATTTGAGGTACCTAGAGCAGGCCAACTCATAGACACTGAAAGCAGAAGGTGGTGGCCAGAGGCTAGAGGAGCGTGAAGCAGGAAGTAACTGCTTAATTGGTGCAGATTTTCTTTGCAGGATGGTGAAAAAAATTCTGAAAACAAATAGTGATGATGGTCAGACAACTTTGACCATCACTGGATTATTTAATGTCACTGAATTGTACACTTAAGATGGCAAAAACCAAACCAAACAACAAATTTATGTCAACATCTCAGCTAAAAATTCTGCAAAATTTCCACCTTTGTCCTAGAAACTCCCTGGATTAAATACTTCAAAATGCAAAAATTCTCCCTCTCTTTTTCTTTTTAGTTCTTCCTATGTGGAAATGGCACCTGTAAGTCTTTCCTGGACACTGATCTGATACTGTTATGAGGGTGCTCAGAGCCCATCAACACACATAGGAAGAACTTATTTCTGCAGGCTATTAGCAAACTTGAGATGAGGGACATCCTATGGTTATGATTTGACAGATAAAAGCTACAGGGGCAGAACTGCATGGCACTTGGCCCCTGACCCCCAGGCATGAACTGACCAGGAGCAGTAAACACTCCTGCACAAAGGCGAAGACAACCTCAGGGGTTTGACTATGCACACGGGAACGAACTGCATCCTTTGTTTTGTTCAACACACAATACGATCTCTTAAGTCCTTATGTGCTGGTTCAGCACATCTTGTAACACTTTGTAAAATAAAACTTGTTACATCAAATTAATAATGCTGAACCCAAAATCTTTCAAAAAACTGTATGTGGCTTGGGCAGAGACTTGAACAAAAGGGAGAACAATCGAATAAAGCCAGTACAACATTCTATGGAAATGACAAATACATGCGCTCGTAGGCAGGAAGAAAGACTTTGCACCCTGAAACCAAGCAACCCAACTTCCTAGCAACCAAGACACAAGGCATCCAGGCAACACCAGCCAAGCCAGCAAGCTCATGAGCCGTCCTGTTTAGTTCTCCAAAGCCACAAAACCTGGGATCACTTCTGGCGACTGAATGAGCCATAAAAACAACATCATCTTTAGCTTTGGCGATGCTGAAGTATGAAGATGTAGCACAACTCTGGTGGGTACGATGGCCATGTAAGAAAATTGTTGTTTTCCCACCATAAGCAGACTGTAAATGTGCTGACTTTATCAGAAAACAACAGTAGGCTTTTTCCTCTTCTAACCGAGCCAGTTAAAAAAAAAAAAAAATCTGGATCACTAATTGGGAAAACATTTTCTCACACAAAAGTAGCGATAAAGGACTGATCACAAAAATATATGGAGAACTGATGAAACTCAACAAAAATGAAGTAAACAACCCCATCAAAAAATGGGCAGTAGAGCTAAAAAGACACTTCTCCAAAGAGGAAATGCAGATGGCCAACAGGCATATGAAAAAATGTTCAACATCACTCGTAATAAGGGAGATGCAAATTAAAACCACAATGAGATACCACCTCACCCCAGTGAGAATGGCACATCTTCAAACAACTAGCAACAACAAATGTTGGCGAGGATGTGGAGAAAAAGGAACTCTCCTGCATTGCTGGTGGGAATGCAAACTAGTACAACCACTATGGAAAACTGTTTGGAGGTTCCTCAAACTGCTAAACATGGAGCTTCCCTATGACCCAGCAATCCCACTCCTAGGTATCTACCCAAAAGACACAAAAACACTGATTGAAAAAGATACTTGTACCCCCATGTTTATTGCTGCTTTATTTACAATTGGAAAAACATGGAAGCAGCCCAAATGCCCCAAAGTAGATGACTAGATTAGAAAGATGTGGTACATATATACAATGGAATATTACTCAGCAACCAAAAAAGAGAAACACATGTCTTTTGCAGCAACTTGGATGGAGCTGGAAAAGATCATGCTTAGTGAGATAAGCCAGAAAGAGAAAGAAAAATACCGGATGATTTCACTCATAGCAGGAGTATAATGGACCAGGCGAGAAAATAACAAAAATAATGAACAACCATAGACCAGAGACATTATGTGGGGGTGGAGTGGGGAATGGGATCAAAAACGGGGGGGGGTTAGGGAGGGAAATGCACAGGACTATGGTGGTGGCACAGGGGTGATTTGGTGATGGGAAACCCGTGGGGATTACAATTGAGATGAAAAAAAAATGTGAAAAATGATGTAAAAATAAACTTTTTAATTAAAAAAAAAAAAAAATGCGCACACACACACACAAAAAATCTGGCTATTAATATGAGAAAGCATTCTTTTCCCCTGTTAATTTTTGTGTTTCTGAGCTTGCTTTCTTATGTTTCGATGACTGTTCATCTGGCTACTTGGAAATATGCTCAGTACTACTGCAGAAGTCACATGTGAAATCTAAAAGGTAACTACGACATATAGCTATGCACTCACTGGGTATCATCATACTCGGGAACTCAGCCATTTGGAGGCGAAATCAGTGCAGGGCAGAACAACAAATCTCCTTTTATTGGTTCTTAACCAACACATCAGTGCACCCTGGAAACTGACATGCTGGGCTGTCACTGGAGCATTTTAGGTACTCGTGGACCGACGACAGTAAATTCTTTATTTTCCCCTCTTCCTCCTCCTTCAGCCCTGTCTGCCTCCATTTCTTCATCGTTTCACTTGACAGTTCAAAAGGGCACCCCCCTTTTCCTTTCCACTCCGCTGGATGCAGCTTCCTGAGGTGACAAATCCGTCTCTCTGACCCCTTCCCCCCGGGCTGTCCTGGCAGCCTCCTCACCTGCAGGTACCAGTGTTTCACCAGTCTCAGGAGGCTCTTCAACTTGGTTGGCCGATGCTTCACGAAGTTTGTCTGCAGTTCGCTGAAGGATGAAGAGAAGCAGCCAGGGTAGCCACCGGCCTTTATCAGACTTTCATAGATCGCAGGGTACAGCTGAGAGTTGGAAACAGAAGGCCCTGGGGAGGGAGAGGGGACACTGAGGAAGCCCAAGGTTGGCGTGTATCTGGGGAGAGCCTGCCAAGTCGTGGGGCTTCTCTCCGGGGAATCCTGGGAACTCAGAGTTAAAGCGGGGAGAGGTCTGCCTGGCGGCTTGTCCTGGAGAACCGAAATTTATCTTTCCACTCTTCAGGCCTCCCAAGGACTCTTGTTTTCTCTTGTTGTGCCCAACGTCTCTGGCTACCCTTAATCTTGTGGGTCTTTTTCTCACTAGTTATGTCCCTTATCCCAACACCAAGACCAAGTTCCAGAAGAGAAAGCTGGGCCCAGAGCGGTCATTTGCTGAGAGTGTGTTTTGGTGCTCATCAATGCATCCAGACACTCTCTTGCTCAGATGGGGCCCCACTGGTGACACCTCTGCATCGAGGCATCAGTGGATGTCTGGCTAATAGGGACCAGCACTCGGGGTGAAAGCTCTAATGTCTGCAGTCGCTACTATAACTGCACCTGCCTAGAACTCTTCACCTGAGGTTAAATTAGAAGCAGCCCTCTGTCCATGGATGATGGGAAGCTGGTGGGAGACTTCCAGCACCCCCTGGGGTACAGCTGAGCCCCCCCGCTCACACAGAAGGTTTACTCCTTCCTGGCCGCCTCTCGCTACTTTCCTTCCGAGTCTCCTGGGAATCTTGTCTTCAAACCCTTGTCTCCGGCTCTGCATCTGGGAAAATCCATCTAGGACCTCACACTGGGAGGACATGTTAGAGAAGCACCCTAAGTTATTCCTCCAACTCCTTCCTCTTCCCTGTCTCACCGTCCCCTGGCTGTCCTGAGGTCAGCTCTTCCCCAGCACACTCCTGTGGCCACCCAGGACACCCGATTCTTTTCCTCTGGCCTTTACCACCGTCTGCAATCATCTCTCTGCAAGACCCTTTGATAAATCTGTTTCCCAAGTTCACAGATAGCTGGGCCAGTGGAGGGGAGGCGAGGGAGGGAAGGGCGTGGGGAGTGGGGCAGCTTCCCCTCCCTTACCCAGGGCCCTGTAGGCAGGCACGATGGTGACCGTGATGGGCTCCACAGTCCTCCAGTTCTGGAATGTGCAGACGAGAGCCCCCTGGACCAGCCTCAGGTCCTGGAGCCCGAGGCCTAGCAGGTCTTGGCAGTGCCAGGCCTCCCTCCGAAGCATGCGCAGAGCAGCTTGGCGGTGCTTGGCCTGCTCCTGGAAGCTTCGGAAACAGCTCAGGAAGGCCACCAGCTCCACCTCTGCCACGTCCTTGAGCACCGTGCCGTTCCCGAAGGAGCCCACCTGCCCAACACAGAGCCGGTCACCCTGAGGCCGCTGCCGGGCCCTGCCTCCCGGCACGGCGGGTCCCGGTCATGCCCCCTCCCTCAGTTGCAGGTGAGCAAATGGGCAGGTCAAAAGGGTGAGGCCCTCACCTGGGCCACATAGGATGGCACTTGGCAGAGCCCAGGCTGCCCGTGCCAGGGCTCAGGCTTCTATATCAGCACCCAGAGAGGGTCCGAGAACATTTTGCTCAGTGATACCAGCCTAAAGAAGTCGTGTCCACCCCCTGGGATGGTGAGATGCTGTGTGTGTGCATGCCCGCATGTGCACTGAGTCGTTTTTTGATACTGAAGAGGGGGCAGCAAAAAAAAAAAAAAAAAAAAGAAAGGGCAGTCAGATCCCTGTAGGGTAAGAGCCATGTCTGGGTGGTTGGGCGTCTGGTCTCCCTTGTTTCTTAGCTGTGTGGTCATTTTGAACCAAACTTCTTTATTTTTTTTTTTTAAAGATTTGTTTATTTATGCATACAAGAGCAGAGGTGTAGGCCAGAAGTATGGGTGGGGGGAGGGTTGAGGGTTCACCAGAGACAGAGTGGGGAGTAGAACAGGCAGATGGATGAAGCACACTGCTGAGGGGAGCTGCAGGCGAGGCAGGAGGGACCTGCTGTGCCCTGTGGGTCACTCGCTGGCCGGGGATCAAACTCGTGCTGCAGTTGCTGCAGTAGCTTCACAGTGCTGCACTTTCACTTGTTGCGCCACCAGGGAGGGCCCAGGGTTTAGCAGTCTTTGAATTTGCTGCCAATACGTAAAACCCAGGAGTTTTGAGATGAAATCCCAATCTCTGGCTTCTCTGGGAAAACTAAGAGTCACTCCCACATGGCTGGGCAGGTTAAGTTAAGGATTATTTATTTATGCATACAAGAACTGGGGTATAGGCCAGAGGTACAGGGGGTGAGAGGATTCACCAGAGACTGAGTGGGGAGCAGAACGGGCAGGTCCACTGAAATACACTGCTGAGGGGAGCAGTGGGGAGACAGGAGAGGCCTGCAATGTCATTTGGGTTATCTCCCAGTCCAGGGTTCAAACTCATCCTGTAGTAGCTACAGATAGCTCCACAGTGCTGTGTCTTAACCCCTTGCGCCACCAGGGAGGGCTCTGAACCTAAGTTCTTTATCCGTGGAATCAGAGTCCTGTTGGCATGGCTCCCTAAGTTAGTATGTGTGAAGTTTGCATGGTGCCTGCCATGAGGATGTCTGGCTCCTTCTCCTTCTTCTCTTTCACCTAGGTGACTTAGATTTCAGTTTCCTTCTCTGAAAGGAGGAAGCCTGAGCCAGAAGATTCTAAAGGGTGTTTTTGATGTCCTGGGTATCTCTAGCCCCCAGCTGCTTCTGGTGAACAGAATCTGGTAACTTTGTCCTCCATCTTTCTTACTCCTGTGGGGAGTCAGACCCCAAGTCAGCTGCCTCTCCTGGCAGGTGGGGTCATTGCTCACGGATATAATCCTGCTCTCTCAGGTTGAACACTCTTGTGTCTTTGAATCTTCATATCTGCTGCTTGAGGGAGGCCCTATGAGAATTAGCCCTGACGTACAGACAGGAAGGAGGCAGGGTTGGCTCTCCATGGCCTGTCTAGCTCTGACGCTCTTGAATTTTGATACTCGCTACAATAGTAGGTAGGAACTCTGGCTATGGGGTCGGATAGACTTTGGTTCAAATCTCAGTTCAACCATTAGCTGTGATCTTGAGCCAATCCTCTCATCTCTGTGAACGTTCAATAAAATCTTTGTTTTACAAAAAATTAAAAACAGAAAGAAAATGCAATGAATACTCATGAATCCAATCACTTAGATTCAACACTCCCTAACTTGCACTTAAGCTTCATCTAAGTCACTGTAGGGGAAATTGCAGACACCAGGGAATTTTGTCCCTAAATATTTTAGCATTTGCGGCCAACCATGAAGAGTATTTTCTCTACACCTACAAAACTATCCCGGCCCTCCCTGATGGCGCAGTGGGTTAAAGCACAGCACTAAGAAGCTAAAGCCACTTCAGCATGAGTTCGATTCCCGCCTGCCCTGGAGGTGACCACATGGCGTGGCAGACCTCTCCTGGCCCGCCCGCTGCTCCCCTCAGCAGTGTACTTCGTCGATCTGCCTGTTATGCTCCCCACTCTGTCTCTGGTGAAGCCTCTCGCCACCCCTGAGCCTCTGGCCTGTACCCCAGTTCTGTATGCACAAATAAACAAATCTTTAAAAAAAAACTATCCCACCAATCACGGTTCTCTTCTGTTATCTACTAACCAGGCTATATTAAAGTTGTCCCAGTTATTTCCCACCCACATGGGATTTGGTTAGAGGCCTTACATGGCATTTCGTAGTTATAAAACTCAAGCCTCCATTTTGCTCATCTGTACAATGGGAAAAGAATAGTGGCTACCTCACAGGGTGCACAAACTAAAGCTAATATATGTGGAGGGATTGATTAGTGTACCTCAAAAGTGACCTATTATTATTAACTTCCTTGCCAGACTCATTCTGCTCAAGGCATTAGTGTGGGGTGCAGGAAGCTAGGTGGGGTGTCCTGAGATGTCAGCAGCGTGGGCTGGAGCTGATGAGGCAGGAGGCCCCAGCCTCGGGGACATGGACCTTCATGCTGGGTTTTGCCTGCCCTGGTCTGTGGATAGAAGGGACGGAGTCTTACCTTGACCACCTTCAGCACTCGCACATCCTGGTCCAGGCCTCGCTCCCCTTGAAAGCGCCCCTCCCTCAGGAACTTCTCCACCGTCCACACCGCCTCCAGCACATCTTCTTTCCACTCACGGAGGGGCTGCAGCCACTGGGCCACAAAGGAGTCCAGCCGGGAGGCAGGGACCTCGAACAGCTCTTCGGGCAGTGCCATCTCTGTCTGGAGAGTGTCACTGCAGGGCCAATATATGGCCGCATTCTCATCTGGCTCCCAGTGCACACACCCCTTTTTAAGGGGGCTCCTCTTCAGCTGCCCTCCAGCGTCTTGTGAGATAAAGGACCAGAACCAAGGGGAAACCAGGAGTGACTGGTTGACCAGGGGACCCCTTTCTTGCAGATTCCAGGCCACAGCAGGGGTACTGGGGGTCACCTGGCCAGGGCTGGGAAACTAGGGGCCACCTTAACAGACTTGGCTTGTCCACATTCTTTGAGGTTAGTTTCGATTCCCAGCTTGTAGAAGTTTCCTTTCCTGACGTTTGGAAACTGAAATTGGCTTGAGTTTGGCTCTGGGTGAGGCATTCTCCTTATAGGACAGAGGTGAATGTCAGTGTAATCACGCCAGCTTGGAATATGAGGATCAAAAAGAGTGTGAACTTATGATCTGGGGTGAGCCACGGGAACTCTGGAGCCTAACCGAACACACTTTGAATGCCAGTCAGCTGTCAACCTCTCTACCCCTCACAAATTTATCCAGAAGGTGGGTTTAATAATATTACCCACCTGATAGGTAGCTGTGTGTCTATCTGAGAATGGTGGCAATGAGCAGGGAAAACAGTCAACACAAGTGTTATATTGCTATTTTCAACTTCTGAGTTTTTATTAACATGAATTTCATGAACATGAATTTTTAGTAAATGCTGATAAGTATCTTTATCAGTGAGGGTGGGAAAAATGGACAGGGGAAAAAATTACATAATATAAAAAAAGTCCCAGCTTCATCCCATCACAGAGGCTCAGTTTGGGCTTCTGTCAGCGTCTTCAGGGCCTGCTCACCTGCATTGCACTTCACACAGATCTTCATCCCCCACGGATCTATCATTTCAGACCCCCAACATTCTGTCGGGAGCTAGAAGGGCCTAGAGCTCACCAATGCACGATATCTCTGCCCAAGTGTGAGCTTTCAGTCCCCACTAGGCAGCTGTTGAATGCCTGTGAGGTGCCACGCATTGTGCTAAGAAAACAAATAGGATGAAGTTCCTGTACCCAGGAGGCCCTAGAGCAGTGGGGGAGACAGACAAGAAACTCTGAGTCCAGTCTGATGTATGCTGGGTAAAAAAAAAAAAAAAAAAAAAAAAAAAGAGTGCAGAAACCCGGGGGAAATTTAGGAAGAAGAATTTATTTTGGTCATCTGTGTTGTGTGTGGACACCTGCTTCAAATGAATCTTAAAACACTGGTCTCTGTCCCGGAAGGTACCCCTGGCACAGTGAAGGCTGAGGGTGCATATAACCCCGGTGTGTGCCAGGGGTTGATTCAGTTGTCAAAAGTGCCTTGGCATGGAGGGGAAGGAAGGGAGAGGGGGGCCCCAGGCCTGGAAGAGTAAGGGTTGATGCTTGGAATGATGCTGACTCAGCAAATATTTATTTGTGCAAGTGTTGTATGTCACACAGACGTCTGGAACACCGATGTTTGCTTGCAGAGGGCTTCTGTCAGTCAAAATGGACAAGACAGAGATAGTACTAAGCAGAAAAATAAAGCAGGAAAGAGATTGAGAGGTACAGGGGTGCGTGTGTGTTGCATTCAGTGTTCCATTTTAAATACAACGGCTAGGGAAGGCCTGAAAAGGCCTTTGAGCGAAGATGTGAAGGAGGCAAAGACTGAGCCAGGAATGTGTCAAAGGCAAATGGCTCACTTGCGGCAGAAGGAGCAGCAGATGCAAAGGCCCTGTGGCAGCCTGTGTGTGAGGAAAGTGGACTGGAGGGAGAGGAGGGCTGAGGTTTGAGAGGTAGAAGGCAGCTGGGCTGTTGTCGGTTCTTGTAGACTTTGACGTGAGAAGATTGAGATAAGGAGGACTTGGAGACTTTCGAGCAGAGGCCGGCATGGGCAGAGTTTCTTTCTCACTTACAGTCATACACTTTAACACACATAGCTCTTTTTTTTTTGTACTGACTTTATTTTCTTGCTTTGTTGTTCACCTTCGTGCACTATTTGACTTCTCTGCTCAGGTGTAGCTCCCCTAAACCTCCCACCACCTCATTGCCGTGAACCACCCTGGTGCTCTCCCCTGTTTTGACCCCTCCAGCACCCCTCCCCTGCTATGTGCCTCAAACCTGTAGTCTGCCGGCCAGTTTTGTCTTTTTTTTTTTTTTAAGCCCTTTGTTCACTTTCTCTATAGCCCTCCTATAAGTGAAACCATTTGATATTTTTCTTTTTCTTTCTGACTTATTCACCCCACAGGATCACAGCAGTTGTAGGGCTGGGGCAGCAGGATTAGATTAAAAACCGAGGGTGGGGATGGAGGTAAGAGGGGAAGCTGTTCGGTGAAGAAGCTACCGTGACAGTCCGGGGAGACGTGGCTGCTTGCATCACACAATGGGAAATTTCCATCCTAAACTAAAGTGGAATAATACAATAAACTTCCACATACCAGCTTCCAGCTTCCAGAATTACCGGCCTGTAGACAGTCTTGTGTCAGTTATATCCTCTCAGGCATCGTCCCTCCTGGGTCATTTGGAAGCCCTGACATCGTATCATTTCACTGGATCTATTTTGCATGGAAAGCTGGCAGATCTTGCTCGTGTATAGAGTAGGAGGTGAGAGAAAGAGCCGAGCTGAGCACTGCTCTCACAGCGTCTGGCTTTGACGTCTGAAAGCGTGGAATTCTCTTGGGCCGAGGTGGAAGAGGCTGGGAAGGTGCAGAGTCTACCTGAAGCCAGGACTCAGCCTTGGAACTGATGGCTGAGCATCTGTTGAGTGGAGCAGGGAGCTGGATACACGAGTCTGGGTTTTGGGGGGAAAGCTGGACTTCAGATATAAATCTGGGAATCACTGGTGTGGGGTATTTACGAGGATACAGTCATGAGGGAAGAGGGGCTAGGGCAAGAAGAGGAGACCGAGGAGGGAACCCTGGAACGCTTGATAGTTTGAAAAGGTGGAGAGTTGGGCGGAGCTGGAAAAGATCATGCTTAGTGAGATAAGCCAGAAAGAGAAAGAAAAATACCGGATGGTTTCACTCATAGCAGGAGTATAATGGACCAGGTGGGAAAATAACAAAAATAATGAACAACCATATACCAGAGACATTTTGCGGGGATGGAGTGGGGAGTGGGATCAAAAACGGGGGTGGGGTGGGGGGTGGGGAGGGAAGTGCACGGGACTATGGTGATGCACACGGGTGACTTGGTGATGGGAAACCCATGGGGATTACAATTGAGATGGAAAAAAAATGTACAAAATTATGTAAAAATAAACTATTATAAAAAAAATGTGGAGATTTGCAAAGAATAAGGAGGTTGGGAGTGAAAGAAAAATCAGGAGTGGTGTTTTAACAGCCAAGTGAATCACTGTTTTAAGAAAGGGGCTGTGATCTGTTGGGCAAATGCCAGGCACATTTTCTCTGACTTTGTGCCGAGGACAGTGGCAAGTCAGGGGAGTGAGCAGTGGTGAAGTTAGCATCCTGGGAAGGTTGGTCTGGCAGCTTCCGTGGTGAGCTTCTGTGGCAGACTGCAGAAGGCAGTGCAGGTGTGGGAGAGGTGTCTGCTGTGAGGCAGTGGCGGCTTGGGCTAGGCTGAAATGGAGGTGGAGAGAAACGTTTGGGTTCTAGGTCTCTTTTTGAGGGGGGGCAGGCCGGACTTGGTGACTACAGGCAGTGTTATAGGGCAACCCAGTTGGGTGGCCTGACTGTGAGTCCTCATCCGTGCCCTTAAGATTTGGCTACAGACACACACAGAAAGCCAATAATGGATTTATTTACAAGGGGAAAGGGAAATGAGTAGCTCAGGAAAAGAGAAAGATAAATTAATAATTGAATCCTCTCAGTTCTGCAGAGTTGGAACACCAATAGCCTGCTGAAAGCTGGCAAAGAGCCAAGAGACAAGCCATCAGCCATGAGGCCACGAGACTCCCGGGCCCACATGTCCAGTTTGATCCCAACCTGGCTGCTCAGCTCCACCCTCAGGTCCCAGCGTGCTTCTCTTTGGTATTGAGGGGATCTGTAGTTCCAGTGTCTGGGGTAGGGGTGGAGTCCATGAAACCTGTATCTGATATAGTAGGAGATGAGGGTGAAGACAGGTAGGAGATGAAGAAGCGCTCTCAGCTCTGGAGTGCATCCTGAGTAGCTGGCGGGGGCCAGTATTAACAAGAGAGGAATATAGAAGGAGGAAGGGAATAGAGGATCTAGAAGTGTGTCTTTGAATGACGACTTTGAATGACCACAGGGGAGTGCCCGTGGGTGGGAGGGGCAAGCGGCTCCCTGTGGAAGCGGCCTTGGCTGTCTCAGCTCACAAGTGTTGACTTGAAACTTCAGTAGCTTCCTAGGTGAAGTTTGAGACTGGCTGCTGGAGCCTGGAAGGCAACGCGAGACTTGAGGAAGAGGAAGACCTCTCCAGAGTGGCAGGAGACTGTTTTAACAAGCAAGGAACTTAGGAGGCTGATCTTAGGTGGCTACAAGATGAACAACTCTCCGTACCCACCTTAAAAGTCCATAGAGAGGTTTTAATAGGATTCAGTCTCATGGTGGTGTCAACACCATGTTACCATCTCAAGGCCATGTCCTTGGGGTAGCTTCTAGAATGGGGAAGGCAAGCAGAGGTCACACTGAAGTGATACAATGTCTGGGCTTCCCTTCAAAGGACAGGAGACATGGGAGCCTTTGATCGCCAAGCTCCAGCTCACGGGTCATCTGGCGTCCTGTCCTCTCCACTACCTCCTCCAATGACAAATGGCCCCTGATACCACAGGGAAGGATGACTAATGCCAACATTTAAATGATGGGCAGGGAAAGGGAAATTTTGCATAATGGATGGAATGGCCAAAGAAGTGGAGACAAGAAGCTAATGCTTCTGATACATTAAGAAACACGGGTTTGAGACGAACTCAGGAAGTCCCTGGTGATTGTGGAGAGGGCAGCTTCAGGGGAGAACTGGGAGGCCTAGAAGCTAGATTAGGGGGAGGCAGAGGGGTCAGGGGAACGAAGACCAGCAGTGTAGATAACCTTTTGAGGAAGTTTATCATGAAAGGGGGAAGAAAACAGGTTATGAGCTAGAGCAGGTAGACAGTAGAGTGGAGAGTCATTCTGAGAAGCCCCCTCATTTCAATTCAAACCTCCAAACTGGCTCACTCAAAACGGAAAGCATAACATCTTTTATTATATTACTTCTGTATTGCCAGTGACTGCTACTGCCTAGTCCTTAAATATTATAATAGCGTCAAGAGCAAAGGCCATTTCATACCTAAGTCAACAAGAATGTAAGACTCCAAACATTTGCCATATGATAAATAATTAATTCCCGGGCATATAGAAGTTATTCAAACAACATTCAGACCTCACATATATATATATTTTATATTCAGCTTCATGAAATGTCTCAAGAGTTGAACAGCTTTCAATTACTTGATTGCTAGACAGTGGATGGAATTTGAGGATTTTACAAGGGAACCTAGAGTGAATAGTGGACTGGTTTTATTATTCATCAAAATGCCCCTGGCTGCGTTTGTGTCTATGGAGCCAGACAAGAGCCAGCAGGCAGGAAGGGAGTGGGCTTGGCTTGAGGAAGGAGGAAGATGCGTGAAGTTGGGTGTTGTCTTAGCTTGGGTGCCCCTATGAGCAGAGCCTGAGGCAAGGTTTTCCACCAGGATGGTTTGTTTGGGAAGTGATTCCATGGGATAGGTGTGGGCGTTTCCCCATTGAGAAGGAGGGAAAATCAATCCAAGGACTATATTTAAATTGATCACTTTGGGATTCGATCTCACTTGGGACTCCCTGCGAGGCAGTGTAGAATATGCCTTAGAAGTACCCACCTGAGAGGTGGAGGAGGGGACCCTGTTCTCAGGTGCCTATCCCACTCCCCCCAACCTTGATTTATAGGTCAAGGGTTTCCCTGTGGGATGTTAATGCCCTTGAGTTTCCAAGTTTGCTCAAGCATCATAGTGGCTGCGTGGATGCCCACAATAGAGAAACCCAACTCCATTTCCCCTCCCATGTAGCGAGAAATTTTCCTAGAAAACCAAAAACAGTGCTTTTAACATTTTCCCCATCTCTTGTGTGCACATCCTTCTGTGATGCGAATTTGCAGTTCCCTCCATCAAAGGGCACGTCCTGTTTCTCCACCCCTTGAAGCAGGGCTTGGGCATGGGACTAACGGGGTATTAATAAGCACAATGCAAACAGAGGCTTAGGAAATGCTTGTTTATTGGGGCTTGTCCTATTTCTCGCTCCTTGCAGAGTACAGTGACCATGTGAATGAGCTCAGACCAGCCTGTTGGATAATGAAAACCACATTCCTAATTTCCCAGCTTTCATACACATGAGGGAGTGGTAGACCTGCAGCTTCAGGGAAGCCAGATCAAACCAGAAAAACTGATCACCCAGTTCAGAGGCCCCCACACAGATAAATGTGCTTTGGGATGGTTTGTTACGTTGGAATCCAGCATCCAGCTATGCCTGATGTTAGCTATCCCTGGACTCTTTCTGTCAGTGTGTTCTACTTATTTTTGCTTCAACTTAATTTGAATTGGCTCTCCATCGCTTGAGATGAAAAGGCCCTTGGTTCAAGACGAAAAAGTTTGTTCTTATTTATGCTTTAGGAAAAGTGGATTGGTTGGGGGGAGAAAGGAGTGGGGTGTGAGGACGTAGCTGTTCAGATTGAACACCACCTGCCCGACTGTGGGCTTTCATGGGGACCAGTTTTCTCCCCTGATGAACATCATGGCGGTGTCACAGTCCTTGATCTGCAGGGCCGAAAGGCGGCTGTTGCTCCACACTTTCCGATTGGGGAGCTTTAGTGACTGACTGTGAGCGAGAGGCCCTCCCGCCTCCTCAATCTTACATTTCAAGTCCTGGGTGGTATCATCAGGATGGACAGCATGAGGTTTGCTCAGACCACTGGACCCCTTCACAAAGACCTGGATCTCTGCAGGGAAGGTCTCTAACCCCCAGATGGACACCTTGGAGAAGATCCCGTAATCCGCCTGCGACTTCCGCCTGCTAAGCAGCTCCCGTTCCTCCTGGAAGGGTCATCCTGGATCCAAACAATCTTTTCAATGACTCTGCCATAATCCAGTGAAAGTCCCTTCACTTACCTAAGTGCCCCACTGTTGTCAGGGTCCTGGAAGGAGAGACGCTGCCTCCTGCTGAAATGATATTTCTTCTCCACTTTCATCTTCCAGATGGGTTGGTAGGGATTCACCAAGAGTGTGTAGGCTTCTTCCCCTCTCTGTCTTACTGTCACTGGGATGTCCCTGGCTGGCTAGAAGGGAGCAATAGAGAAGGGTAGTGGTGGCCCCACAGTTGGGTGTCCATATCCCCCCGCTCCTGGCCACCCACTGGTATAACTTATGGCCTATGGAGACACTTTTAGAAGTGGAAGAAGCTGTTATGAATAATATTTTTAGCCAACAGGTATTGTTATGGCAACTTCCCAGAGAGATCAGGCGGCTGTCAAAGAGGTGGAGAGAGAACTCACACTGGCAGGTTCAGTGGGGTCGCTCCCAAAGGCTGAGTCCCGAATGACAGGAATGGTGAGGTTTTACACAGGCCGTGTGAGGAAACTTGTCACCCCATCCATCGCAGCGTTAGCACTCTTTTTTGTTTGGGAAGGGGGTCAAGGTAGCCCAAGCTACTACTCTGGGCCAGCAGCACACTGCAGGGACTGTCTGCTCCAATCAGCAGCAGAAAGCAAGCAACAGATTTCCCCAAGCAGCAGGCCTGGGAAACTGCCTGCTATAAGCCAGGACTGTCCCAGGCAAAGTAGAATGTTCAGTGATCCCGGACTTCTGTCACCTTTGTCCTCTGACTCACCCCAACCAGAGTAATGACTAGCAATTGTTTTGCAAAAACCACAACTCCTTTATGGAAAGAGTTTCCATTCCTCATATGGGCTAGCATTGGCATCTGCTGCATAGGTACATCCGGGGGCTGTCAGGCACTGGGATGTAGGGTCAAGGATATTCACTGGAATAGTAAAATCGGAAACCTCCTGACAACAGTGGGGCACTTAGGTAAGTGAAGGGACTTTCACTGGATTATGGCAGAGCCATTGAAAAGATTGTTTGGATCCAGGACGACTGAATGGCCCTTACCTAGGGCGGCCCTGGTCCATGCCCCTTGTCCTGGCATCATTAATAACATCCCATTTCATGCTAAAACTACCCCTGGTTCAGACTTAATGTTACATGGCTATGCCTTGGAGGTCTGTGTGTGTGTGGTTATGGAACTGTCTTTCTGACAGTTTGATTGCATAATTGAGTAACCTGATCAGTTAGGCAAATGAAAGTAAAAGCTCACAAGAAAGATGCTCAGACCCAGGCATGCACTTGTGCAGGTGATGCCTCCACAGAAGGGGGTTCAAGGAAGTGGTAAGTGGGGGTCAGGCTGGAACAGTACTGGGGGGCTGGGGATCAGGATGACAGGAAGATACTTCAATATGTACCCTTTTCAATAGTTTGGTTTGAATGTGTGTTGCCTTTTTACAAAACATTAAATAATAACAACCATGCTGCTGCTAGGAGGGTTCTACGGCAGGTTCTTGCCAAGAGTTGGAGGACTGTTCCCTTGGCCTCGCTCCTGGGAGCCCCCAGCCCACTGGACAATCTCCACAACGGGGCGTGGCTAGGTGACAGCTCCCTTTGATGTGTTACGTATTTGTTCCAGTGGTGGCTGGTTTGCCTCTGAGGCCAGGCTCAGAGATTCCCTACAGGAGTTGAAACGTGGGACTGACTGCTAGATGTCTCTGGGAGTAGCAGGTTGGAGAAATTAGAGGATATCAGGCGTTGTCCTGGTCTCTGAACCCTGCATTCCTGCGTAGTGTTGAGACCCAGGAATGCTGGAAGCCCCACGTAGGGGTAGAGGTGAAGGCCCAAGGTTGTTGCCTGCAGGAGTCCTTCCTCTGTTCCTCACTTGTGGATTTTTGGGATGTATTTACAGCCGAGTGTTGTAATGAAGCACTAAAGGGGATGCATTTTGAGAAATACATTGTTGGGTGATGTCGTCATTGAGTAAGCATCCTAGAGTGTCGTTACAGGACCCAAGGTGATGTAGCTGACTACACAGCGAGGCAGAGGACCACTGTTATACTGTCTGTCCTTGATCAGAATGCCATTAAGCAGACTGACTGCGTGCAATCTCTTCTTGTTTGAACAGCAAGAAGTTGAGCTTTCAACAGCCATAAAAGGGCTGTACGTAAGTGAGTAAACTCTTTGACAATATCCTTCAAATGGTTACAGATGAAATAACTGAGTCTCAGACTTAAACTGCACACCTGGTTGGCTGGAATGTCTTCGTGGGAGGTATTGCCTGTTCTGGTGCTGTGACAGAAGTTTGGGAGATGGAGATGATTGTGAGGCTGCAGTGAGGTCATTGTCAAGCCATTGGGGTGGGTGGGTCATACCTGTATGTTCCAGCCTTCAGTGGGGTCATCAGTTCTGCAACAGGCCTGCTCCGGGCAGTAAGCAACCTCCTTGGCCACCAGATCCCAGCCCCTTGCTTTCCCCAGGTTGTTGGTGGGATCAACTGGGTCCAGTATCAAGAAGGGGAGGGGGTTTCCACTGTGCTCAGGACTCTGGCCTCTGTCACTCAAGTCTGTGGGATTGTACAAGCCTCCGTGTAGGGATGTCTTCCCACAAACGAAACTGCGTTTGAGATTCAAGATGAAGTAGATGTTGTCTCAGAGTGAATCTCAGAGATTGTGCTGGAATGCTAGGGCAGAGATGCCTTCCCTCTTGGACAGGAAGAAATGAGTTGAGTTGAGAAGCCTGGAACCGGGGCAGCCATGAGGAATTAGCCTAATTCAAAAGTAAAGCTCAGGGAAAGGCCAAGCTGAGTCACTCACAGACTGGGACCCTGAACACAGAGCAAACACCTGGATCGTGCTATACCTGCAACTTCACTTATTTTCAGGCTTTTCAGTTACAAAAGCTAATAGATTTCCTTTACTTATAAACTTGCTTGAATTGGATTTTCTAGTCCTTGCAGCTGAAAACAGAGCAACCAACAAACTCACCTGCTTTCTTTTAACTGTTGTTTGATAAAGGTTCTGACAACCTTATTTCGGAAATCATAGTACTTTGCCCAATATATGCAGACAGCTCCATCTTTGGTCAGGAATTTCATCACAGATATTAATCCTACATCCAGGTTGAAGTTCTCACTTTCACTTGTACCCATTTCCCAGGAGTAGATCGTCAGTAGCTCCACTTCATATTTTGAAGGCAATGCTACTCTTCCATATTTAGGTTTCAAACACTGGAGAGGAGGCAGATGATGAGGCGTTAGGGGAGAAAGACAATATGAGATCATTGCTCTGGAAAGTGAAATGCTTTCAGGTCACTCTGTTTCCAGGTGACATTTCATCCACTTCATTTTACATCTGGATTATGGGGCACATCCATAACCTTAGATGTGGGTTAGCAGCGTGGGGTCATCAGGTTTCAATGGAGGAGGAAATTGTGGCCTCTTATGGATTCTTTTGGGCCTTATCAGTCCAAGTTATTCAGTTGGAATGGGGGCGACAATATAATACAGTGAATATAGGATATAGTTGGAGAAAATGAGAACACACAGATACTGAAATCATAAAACAACACCAGAGTAAACAGGAAGGGGAAGACTGGGGTGATAATCTGAATTTCCCAATTCTTCAAAAATTTAGAAATCTATTGCAGTGATGTTTTATGATCACAATGCTGGAGGTCTGAAGCCTGTGGAGCATGGGGTTTGTGCATATTAGGAAACAATTGTCACCAAGGAATCTGCTGTTGGAACCAGAGCCTATAACCAGGACATGATGCCTCAGAATTTAATAGAATACAGCAGGAACAAACAAATATAATGCAAAACACTGTCCAGTGCTCTATAGTTTACAGACAGCTTCTGATAATACTAATTCATCCATACACTAGTTTGTCCTCAAAGGAGGGGGGATACCTTCCAAGACCCCCAAAAGATACCTGAAAACTGCCAATACTGAACTCCATAGGGTAGACCATGTTTTTTTTCTACATTTATGTATCTTTGATTATTTAATGTATAAGTTAGGCTCAGTAAGAGTTCAACTATAGTAACTAATAATAAAATACAGTAATTATTGGGCCTCAGTGCTAATAACCTCTATGGCCTGAGTTTGATCCCCTGCCAGGGAGGTGACCCACATGGCACAACAGACCTCTCCTGTCTCACCCACTGTTCCCCTCAGCAGTGGATTTCAGTGAATCTGCCTGTTCTGCTCCCCACTGTCTCTGATGAATCCTTTTACCCCCCTGCACCTCTGGCCTATACTTCAGTTCTTCTATGTTAAAAAAAAAAAAGTCAAAGTACTAAAGAAGTAAGTATTAGAAAAAAAATAGAACTATCAGTAGACTATAATCTAAGTTAGGCACCTGCTATCTCTCTCTCTCTTACTCCATTTAATATTTGCAGATCAAGGTTAACCTTGGGTAGCTGAAATCACAGACAGGCAAGATAATGGAACCTACTGTTCTATTTAACCTGGTTCCTAGCTTGAGATAGGTTGGTTCCATTTTTTGCCTCTTTGAAAAATACTAAGATGCACCCCCAACGTTCTCTGTTCCCTGCACCTCCCAGCTCAACATTAGTCTTTATACCTGAAGTCACCAGTGTTTCACCAGCCGCAGCAGATTCTCGAGCTTAACAGGGACACTCTTCACAAAGTGTCTCTGCAATACCACGAAGCTCTGTGAGAACTCCCCAGGGTGGGAATAGCTGTTTATTAAGTTTTTATAGATTTTTGGTGATGGTTTCGATGTATCTGCAGGCATGTTTCCTGGATAAGAAAAGGACATGATCAGCAAAATCAAGATCCCATGCCCAGTGGAATGGGGAATGGGATCAAAAATGGTGGGGGGAGGGAAATGCACTGGACTATGGTGATGGCACACAGGTGATTTGGTGATGGGAAGCCCACAGGGATTACA